TGAGTTTCTAATGATTGAATATATTCAATTGTACTTTCGAGGTTAACTTTAACCAAGATTGAACCATTCAACTGTCAACCCTTGTCAAGTTTAATCAAAAGGTTGATCAGATTTGATTCAATAATGAGCATCTTTGTCTGGTTAATCATTTAAAACACGGAATGAAAACATTTTTCAATGTTGGTAATAAATTGAAATTTATTTGCTTTAATCGAGATTATTTTGTGTTTACAAATCTTTTCCTCTTTGGTTGTCATTAAATCGGGAACCTTTTGAAAAGTGATTTCAACCCAAAGCCGATTATAACTGGGTCAATCCCAGAGGTTCACTATTATCACCTAAACTCTTCTTTATTCAGTGATTATTTGAATATTTCCATGCTATACGATTATTCGTTTTAAATGATTCCATGAAAAATGTAAATATTTTGATCGTTTTGCTTAATTCATTTTCCATTTTCTGGGTTCCACTTTGTGACTGTTTTTAAATTTAATCATGAGCAAGAAAAGCTTTGAATTTGAAATGAGATTCGTTACAATATTGATTTAAAATTGATCAATCTTTAGTCTTGCATTTGGATGAAAGTTTTATCCTGAATATTGAATAACTTTTTTATGAAGCAAAAGATGAAGTGATTTTTTATTGAAATTAATTTATGTCGAGTAATTGTTTTGTCAGTTTATTTTCCTCTTCACAATCAGATGGCAATCACACTTTGTTCAAGTTTCAAGCACTTAAAACTTGATCAAACTTCATCATTCATCTGTACAAATATAAATGCATCCAATTTCATAGTATTTAACCCAAAAATTTCATTCCATTTCCAAGAATTGGTTTGAAGGTAAATAATAAATGTTCACATTGCTGCATCTCAAGATGTTCAACTAATATTTTTATTGCTAATATAAGTGATGATCATGATATTGTTTTGAACAAAATTTCATTTCCATATTTTCTTGATTCTGGTTAATTTCGTTTGTGATAGTTTAGGTAAAATATTGTTCACCTCAAAGTAAATTTGAATAATCGTAAGTGACAGACATGTTCATAATTTAATTCATTAGGTGAAAGTTTTCAAGATTACTTGAAGAATAGATGTCAACTTTGAATCAACAACTGATATTTATTGGAACAAGTGGTTTTGAATATTTTGAGCTCAACTCATTTCGAAGTACATGATTTATTGATGGATACAAAGAAAAACAAAACTCAGTTGAGTTGCAATTTATAATACGAAAATAGCGTCTCTTTACAACTTTCATTTCAATGAATGGTACTTTTTCATCTAATAATCAATGCCCATATTGTTGCTCATTATCGCGCCTCGCTTATAAAAAAGTAATTCATCATAAAGGATCTTTAGTGATATTGTGTCTGCGTCGAAAAAGTTTCAGCTTTTATTGAAATTTGCATGAATATTGGGTTCTCGGGTTTAGGTTTAATGATGAAACTAACGCGATATCGGGGATCTGTCCATTCTGATGGATGATTAGTTTACTTTTGTCACGCATTAATTAATTATTGAGGATTTTGAAGATTGGTATGAAACTGTTTATTTTGATGTTGTTTTCTAGATGAATTCTGGTGGTCCTGCTAAGAGACTATTATCTTTTCTTCAGTAGCAATGCGACTTTCTCTGGTCCAGCGATTTTCTTGAATTATGATGTTATATAATACTATTTTCATGAAATTTTCTTCATATCATTCTCTTGAGTTCTTGATGTCTTGCCGGTGTCAAAAAGCTTCTTAAGGCCACGGCCATGGGAATTGCTTTCATCGCTCACAAAGAAATGGTATGAATCTCTCTTGGTGTAGTAATCTGGGTCAATGAGTTTCAGGATATCAATTAATTTTAATACCTAGTCCACACTGAAGAGCTTTTGTTATATTGATTACAAGTTTTATTAGATTAGTGGAAGGCTTGGAATTCATTGTTGTTCCTGAATAAGATATGAAAAAAATGAAAACTGACACATTTAAATTGGTTGAAAAGAGAAGAAGGTTTTAAAATACATTAAGTTCTAGAATACAGAATGTAAGCAGATTATTGTGGATAAGTAGTTGAAAAATCATGTGTATTGTTGCCTCTACTCTATTAGACTCAACTGTGTAACACAATCAATTTAAGTGCTGAAAACTGATCTGAATATAGTCAAAAATCTATTATTGTCAATTGAAAAATACATTTGACGAAATACTAACTATACGTTTCGCAAATGCACCGTTTAAAAGTTACGTATAAAGAACTTTAGAATCAGTCATTTCTGGAGGCTCCATGGGTCTGTTTAAATCTGAATCAGTTTAATAATTGATTAATTTGGTTTATTTTATTCTTATTGTTACCATTGCTCTTTCGCTATTTTGCCCTTAATCAATCACTTAGTTAGTCTAAAATTAAGATTGATTGAAAGTAAAAATAATTCACTGATTTCCATTAAATATTACTGCGAATTAAACTCTTTGATCGATATAAATGGACATTTATCTCAAAAGACAATTTAATTTTCCAGGCTTTCAAATCTTCATTTCATAATGAGCTATTCTAATTGTTTATTTCATAAGATAATGAACATATTTTCAAAAGTAAAGCTGAAAAAATTCATTCCTACTTTGCCTACTTTTTAACTCAACATTTTCAGAGTTTAAGGTTTTCATTTCTCATTCTCCTTGCAGACTCTTTCACATGATCGTATATATCACGTATTATATATTATTACATCATTGTAAACAAAAAAATGAATAATATTAATGTAGGTTGAAACTATAATTTGTGATTCCTTCATCATGTTTGAAAAACTCAGGTAAAAACAGAGAGAAGAGAGGAAAAAAACGGAAAAACTTTTTTTTCCTTTTCATTCTTGCACTCAATTTTGCCTTCAACCTTGCTTTCAACATTTTGTTAGTTTTCCTCGATCTTTACCTTTTCTCGAGTTTCTTTGTTTCCTTGTGATATTTCAACTTCTGAATTTTTACCATTTTGTTCATCTTGAAGCAAAATAAAAGAGCAACGATAAAGTAATATCAGAAAGAGTCAGACTGCAAACAAACAACATCACAAATTCATGGATTCATTTACAATAACACATTTGATAACAAGAGTGGAAACAAAATTCTGCCAAAGGGAATGTTGAACATATTTTTGACAGACAAAAGTACAATTTTATTCACTCGTTATTTAACAAGCTAACATAATAGTGAATAAGAAAAGTTGAAGAAAACAAAATTATCATCAAAATTGGCCAAGAATTTTAATAATATTCAAGACAATAAAGTGTCAAGTCAAAGTATTAAACTATCAACACTCAGAGAGTAAACTATTTTAATATTGTTTCATTTTATATCAAATAAAAAGTATATTTCGCTAATTCCCTTAAAAATTCAAAGTTGCATATTTTTTAATTCAAATGGCTTTCAAGTGATGAAAAAGTGTTACAAATGAAAGTATATTTCATCTTGCCATTTGATCTTTTAAGCTGATTTAGTCGTGTAAATAAAGTGTCAAGATTAATTAATTGGACAAGTTGTATTTGAATCATAATTTGCATCAAGATTGGGTTTGTCAAGAAATGCAATAATCTCAATTTATTTGGATTGTCAATGAAAATGACGAAAGATGTGCAATTCCTTGTGTAAATACAAAAAAGATATTCTGATGTATTGGACAGTTTTATGTTTGTTTCCTTTCCTTCTTGATTAAGTCGTTATTAAACTATTGCACATCGAACATCATTTCATCTTGTTAAAAATACTCAGCTCTAAGAAGCTATAAATCAGTTGCCTTTAAAATCCTGGTTGTCTATCCTGGTTATGAGCCCTTGTACTTTTAAAGGTGATGGGTCAAACAACAGAAGACAAACAGAAATTCGGCTTTTAAGATTATTATAAATCTATTGTGAAGTGTAATACGAAATCATTTTAAACATTTGATCAGCTTAAAAATTTTATGATACATAATTTCGGCAAAATGCACGATGGACTAATGAATGAATTCGTTAAAATTCATTTTTCGGCCTGATTCAGCAACAACTGATTCTGTTCGGAAACTCGGCGCGTTTGTAAGGTTGTAAACCAAAGCTTTTGAAGTCTTTGGTTATGCAAGCTAAAAGAACATTTGTAAAGACTAGTTTGTAATGAGTTCAATCTAAAGTTTAAACTTTAATGGTCAAACTGTCCATTTCAATTTAAAATTATCTGATAGCACAACTGTAATGCTGTTGACATTGATAATATTACTTAAGATAATTGGTTAAAATTGAAAAATATCAAGCTGAGTGTTAACTGAATTTACTGTTGCTAGTGAAAAAACCAGACAAAAAAAGTTGAAAGTTAATATGTTGATGGAAATGTTGAACCAAAAGAGATAATATTGATTATTAAAAATACAATAATGTATTTGAAAAAAACTCAAGGTTTATCTCGAGCCTGATATTTTTTTTTTGCTGTTACCCTGGCAATTATTATCTTGATGATGTTGAACATGATGCTGAGTCGAGGATGAACAAAAGGTAAGATGAAAAGCCAGGAGTGAAGATAAAGAAATGATCAAAGAGAGAAAAAAACGTTTTTCTCTTTTTTTTGCCATCGATTGTACCTGCTAATACATTACATTGTTAAAGGTCTAACAACAATAATCTTGTATCAATGTCAGATGAATACTTTTTTGTGCCCATGTAAGTGTCAAAAGGATTTTTCATGTTGCTTCTTTTGGGTTAACAAAGGTTTCTACCTTTACCTTTCATCTTTTCCCTGCACCAGCATCATCTTCATCATCGTTACAACAATTTTATTCCTATTCATCATCATGATCATCATCTTAGATTGATTCTCATCTTTACCTGAATGTTTGTTTGTTCACTGTTTACTCAATTAATCTAATGGGTTATCCTTTTATTTGAGTTGCTTGTTTGTTTTCATGAATCACAATGAACTTAATCTTGTTTTCATCTTCTTTTTTTTCCATCATCTTTACATCTTTACCTTGCTAACCCTTGAACCTTTAGATTTGGAGTAAATACGACAACGATGGTAATGGTTACATTGATTCAGAGGAACTCAAGGTGAGTCAGGTTTTCCTCTTCAAGATCATCGACTTTTCAGGTTTTTCCATCATTTTTAATTAAATGTTTATTCTTTTAACAGGGATTTTTGGGTGATTTCCTGAAAGAAGCAAGAAAAGACAATGTAACCGAGGAGAAGCTCAATGAATACACTGAGACTCTTTTGAACATTTTTGACTCCAACAAGGATGGTAAACTTCAACTCAGTGAAATGGCTAAGTAAGAGCAATCCATTCAATTCCAATCAATATAATCCACTTTCATAGGCTTTTGATTGTTGAACCTTCATGCTAATCATCGGATTATTAACACTATCATAGAGTTTGAGCTAACTGTTCAGCTAACAGTTGAATTGATTTAGTAAATAGCTATTCACCATTTAAAATACTTGAGACATTTATCACCTTATTATTGGCAATTAGACTCAAAATCTGACTGCAATTGAGAAAAGCGAAGCAGCCTAAACCTGAAAGACTTTAACATTAGGATATCTAAAGAAGTGGAATTGTTGAATCAATCTCACCTTAATTTACCGTCTTGAGGCAGGAAAGTTTGTCGACTCTCGACAGTCTATTGACTCGTCGTTTCTAAAATAATCCTGCTCAAGTGAAGGTTCGGACAAGTGCGTCTGCTTAATCAAGCAATGGCATGACGCTATAGTCTGAAAGATTATGAATAATTTCTTCAACTCAGAATCCCGTAATTATAAGGTAAAGATACCGTAAAGCACTCAGTGTGACCATAAGAAAACTAAATTCAATGGAGAGTAAGCATTCAGGTTTGGGTTGATAACGACAAACTGACTATTCCGACTATAAATTCAAAACGAATCCATGTTGATCTTTTTTTGAGCGTAGAAGGATCCTCAGACTAACCAAAGTTACAAATTCGAGTTTTTTCTTAATCTAAAAGCTTTAGCAATTTTAACTTTCAAACTTTGAGTCCATACGCAGTTCCTTTAAAATGGAAGAGACAAAATCGCCGAAAGTCGTTCATTTAACATAATCAAAGTTACAGAAATATTAGCGAATCGATGACACAAAATGTTGCAAGTTATTGTTTCCATCTTTCAAATGAACCGATTCGATCTTATGATTCAAGTTCGCCAGACTCCAATTTAAGGTTAACGGCACTAACAAGTCTAGATTTGAGTAAACGTTGAATTTGAGTCATCGGTTTATTTCACATTATTATTGAGACAAAAAACTGATTAGACTTTGGATTCGTGCTGCTTAACGAATGATTAAGGTAATTCTTGCCATGCCAACATTTTGTTTGAAAAAAACAGTTAAATTCATTAACTGATGAGTAACTTTGTTTTTGTACCTTTTGTACTGTAATTAGCAAATTAATATTAATCTCTAATGATTTGTTAGCTTCTCTAGTAATCAAGGTTAATTAATTATTGCTTTTCTTTATCAAAATCGAAAGGTAACTTTTCGATAGGAAATTGATCTTTTAGGACAAATAATTAGTTAATAAAAGGCTGATGCAGCAAGAAGAAGAAGAAGAAGCAATTTTCCAAATCGTTATTCTTCCAACTATCATGTTAATAATACACCAAAATGGACCCATTTTTATCCATTTCCATCATGACTTTTCTCAATCAATTTGAAATGGACGCAAATTTGAGACTTTCTCCTTTCATCACAAGTATTACATGATTTGATAAAGCAAATTAAAACTCATCTCAAGTGAAGCATTACACTTGCATTCAGTAGCAGTTATAACCTCATCAAACTCAATATCAAATAAAAAACGATATCAAGTTGAAGCGTTATCATCATTTACCTTTTTCCCTCTAATAATACTTGTTACCTTGCCATGATATTGGTTCACTTCTGCTCATTCCTGTAAATTTCATGATAATAACTGATGAACTATTTTCGTTTTCTTTTTTTCTTCTTCTTTTCATCTTTTTTCTCCCTTCTTTCCCCTGACAATAGACTGTTACCTGTCAAGGAAAATTTTTTGAGAAAAAGTTCATTCAAAGGAGCAAATTTGAGCAAACAAGACATTGAAAGAGTCTTTGCTGTTTATGACAAGGTAAGTGTTGTCATTGAAATGACGTTGAAGTAAATCAAAGACAAACATGAAGAAGAAGATGAAAAAAATGATCAACTTGAATTGTTAATTGTTGCTTTATTTTAACCCTCCAAAAAGGATCACAATGGAACCATTGAAAATGAAGAATTGACTGGTTTCTTGAAAGATTTGCTTGAAATGGTTAAAAAGGTAAATTGAACCAGATTTCTGGTAAACACCAATTTTCATCTCTTTTTTTGTTTCTTCTTTACCCTTCCATTCAAGGATTACGATGCAACTGATTTATCATCATTCAAAGAGTCTATCCTTTCAGCATGTGATTTGGACAAGGATGGAAAGGTCAATAAGAAGGAATTGACAACCATTTTGTTGGCTTTGGCCAAACACTCGGACGAACCTTGAGCCAGGAAAATGATGAACAATTTGTTGATTGAAATACACACACACACATAAACACTTATAATCGCATATAACATGGACAACAAATATACACAAAAATATATACTTAACCATATTTAATCATTTGTATCATCACCATCATCATCCAACTTTGGAATTTCGGAAAATTCTGAAGACACATTTAAGACATTGTTATCTCTCATTAATAGATGCAATTAACCATTCAATTATAATTACAACAGATTGCCTTGACAAATGAACAAAATGAGGATGACAAATGATGAAGGTGAAGATGGGACTTGAATGTTTCAAAAATGAATCGAGATTCTTTCTCTCTCTCTCATTCATACGATTCAATGATTCAACTCTTGATTCTCAAATTAATTAACACGAAAAAATAAATTGTAATTCATGTTTGTTTTGTCAAGCTTGATCAAAGTTAACCTTTTCAACAAATGAAGAGCAACAATTAGAAACTTGATTAGTCTCATTTTACCTGGCGAAACTCATTATTAGATTAATTATTTTGTGTTTATTTTTTGGGTTAAAGTTAAATCTTCATTTTCTGCTTGTTCAATATTTGTTCAACTTCAATAAATTAGACAATTTTTTCAGTAGCTCATTTTGCTCTCCAACTGATTGAAAATTGAAACTTGATCTGAATGACAATTTTTATGGTTTCCATCCAAAATTAACTAATTCATCTTTTACTCTAATCATTATTTGGCAAAACATAATTATGATCAACTCTAATTAAGCAGCTGATTGGCACAAATTGAATCCAATAATTGAATTATTCCTGAAAAATGTTTAGGCTTTACTCGATATTGTAAGCTTCAATGTTGAAGGGAAAGGGAAAAGCTAAACATTAGGAAAAAATATCTTTGCGCTTTTTTGGGTTCAATTTCAATGTTACAATCAATTTAACTTGCAATAATTTTACTTTAACCAAATGTTTCAGATTATTTAATCATTTTCATTGTTGTTAAACAGTTTAATTTTAAATGTTGAAAGTAAATTGGGTTTGCTTTCAACTTCACCCAAATAGAGTTAAAAAATGTTGAAACTGAAAAACTGTTAACCCATAAAGCATCATTCATTGTTGATTGTTCATCTTTTAATCTTGTTTAATTTTTGGTCCAATTTAAATTGTAATTAACCCTCTCTGTGTGTGTAACAACAAAATGTTTAATTGTTAATTGTTTCCATTGAAAAAAGCAAAGTAAAAATGATTAAAGACAAAGATGAATGTTAATGTTTCCATTTGTTTTTATTTGTCAATTGTTGATATACATTAGATGATTGTTCAATCAAGTCTATCTAAAGCCAAGTTTTATTGCAATTGCTTGGTTAAACCCGTTCAATTGGAAACAATTTTTAATATCAAAATCAAATGTTTAACTTATTGACTTTTCCCAATTTCAAGTCTTCAGACATCGATCTTTTTTTGTTCATTTTTCTCATTTTTTAATGGATTCTTTTTTTGAGTCTGATTAGAGATTCAATCATTGAGTGATTCTAATGATTGGAAATTTTGCTTTTTGCTCAAAAGGGTTTAGATTGAGATTAAGTTGACAAAATTTGGTGGAAAAAATCTGTTGAAAGTCCATTTTTTGCCACTTATTTTTTCATCATTAACTGATTTATGATGTTTATTTGGAACGCCATGATTGTGATGATTCTAGTAATTCTGGTGATTCACTTGGATTCAACTTTCAGGTTATTTCAAGTGTAAAATAATCGTGAAAAAAAGGAAAACTGGAAAAGGATGAAAAAACATTTTCTCTTACCTTTAAAGTAAATTAAAATCTCTTCAAAATGGACTCAAATTTCACCATCTTTATCCTGTTTTCATCGAAAGATTGACTTTTTTTCTTCTTAAGCAATGAAAATGTCAACAAAATGAACCGTTCAATGAACAAACTTTTTGACAAATCAATTGAATCTGATGAAGGTTAACAAACAAAAAAAGGATCATTTTTTATCCAACCTGTAAATGAACAGAATCGAGTTAAATAATGATCTGTCATTGATATTAATGATGTTCTGTTGTTCAAAACAGGATTAACTTTTATCATCTAAATATGAAAAGACGACAATTAGTTGATTTAGACTTCACTTGACCTTTAACATGATTTACTTGAGCATTTATTTTGGCAATCAAAATGGATTGAATGGTTTGTTGGTGTTGATTAGCTTCATCTCTAGCTTTACCTCTTGCGATTCACCAATTGAATTATAATGAGACTGGGAATGGTTGTGTTTTAATCATTATTTATTTGTCATTTCTGATTTTGGGATTTTTTTATATTATATCTTCTGGTTCAAGATAATTATTTACAATTGTTAATTGTTATACATTGAAGTAGAGAAAAGGGAAAAAGTCATTATTGGAATCCTAATAGAGTTTTTTGTCTTATTTGTTTAGTTAATTACACTCCATTGAAGTGCATTTAAGGCAAGACAGTTTTATAATTAAAATTTGTGTGTGTATTTATATATTATAACATATAATATATAAACGCATTAACAAAAAAAAAGTAGCAAAAGCAACAACAACGAAAGGTATTCAAAAAAAGGTTGAGGGTTGCGTGTGTTGATTTATGAGAAAAAAAAGATTCATAAAAAAATGATTATTTTGTGTGATTGAGATTTTTCATCAGATGATTTAAATAGCCTTTTTATGTTGTTGCTTGACGTTGGGATGAAGTGGAGGAGGAAAATGAAAGACTAAGAATAGTAAAAAAACTTAGTATCCAAAAAAAGGGTTAAAGTTGAAAATTGAAAGCAAAAAAAGATGACAATTAATTGGTTCAATTGTTGATTAGTGGTATTTTTAGTAACGTCCTAATGAAGCTAAAGGAGATGATCCGAGGCCTCCGTAAAATGGACTTGAATAACTTGAACCGGGAATTAAACTTGATCCTCCTAATTGGGGTAGAAGAGAAAATATTACAATTAGTAAACAAATTAACTTACAATTTGTGATAATTGTTTGGGTAAATTTGGGTTCTTTTGGGTTTGCTTTAGCTTGCTCATGTTAATGAAGGTTTGACATAATTTGAAACGTTTAGACTTGTTTTGATCTTGTTTAGTTGCTTCTTATACTTTGGCTATTGAGCCTGCTTTTTTAACCAATCAAGTTAATCTATTAATATACATATAATATAATTATAATTTCATTTGAATGTTAGACTAAATTAGTTAATAAAATTAAAATTGAGATTTGAGAAAAAAAATGACGATTCGTTAACCTCGTTAAAGGTGGACTTTTTTAGCTTAATTTAATATTTACATGAATCTAATTATATACATTTACTGATTAAGATGAGGCTGTTTTAGTGTGTGGTGCTGGTATTGATAATAATAGTAATGATAATAATAACGATATAAACATAATCAAACACAAAAATGTTATTTAATTGCTGGAATATCCCATGAAGATGATGAAGATGATGATGGACTAGTAAAACTCATGAGAATCATGTCAAATACTAATAAATTGACTTGTTACGGGTTATAATTATTTTCCTTCAAATTTGTTTTGTTTTTAGGTGTGAAACTCTTTATTTCAAGTTTTAGGTATTACCATTATTTTAATCATCAACTACTATCGTTATTATCAACGTTACCATCATGATCATTACCAAGTTGCCAAAAAAAAGAAGATTCAAGTGTAAATTGGCGAACAAGAAGCATGAAGCAAAAAACAACAACAAAAAACAAACGATAATCATGATCAAAAGTAGGTTAGTTGTGCATGAAAAGGTGTTAAGAAACACCAACATTAACATGTAATAGCAAGGTTAATAAACAGACGATTGGAAATTGTTCAATTGATTAGTACTCACGGTATGAAGGTGAATAAGATGAACCTAAGGATGAAAGCCCGTAAGCTGATGATGAAAGTGGTGATGAGGGTGAAAGAGAACCGTATGATGGAGCAAAAGATGATCCAAAAGAGGATGGAGATGCACCGTAAGAGCCAGCGGTTGGTGAACCATAAGATGCACCGGTCAAAGCTGATCCATATGAGGGTGATGAACCAAATGAAGAAGAGCCAAATGAAGATCCAAAGGCTGAACCATAAGGTGATCCGAGTGAAGAAAGAGCTGATGATCCGTAGAGACCACCGGCACCAGAGCCAGGTCCATAGGGAGAGGTTAAAGGACGAATTGAGGTTGATGAGGTGAAAATGGGTGATGCTGAGCCGTATAAACTGGATGATAAACCTGATGAGAAAGATGGTGATCGAAGGTAAGATGGAAGGGAACCGTAAAGGCTAGCTAAAGGTGAACCGGAGGAAGATGAACCTGCACCAGATCCAGCTGAGCCCAATGAACCACCATTACCAGAAGAACCAGAAAGTCCGTAGAGGGAACCAAAAGCTGATGACAAAGGTGAAAGAGAACTACCAAAGGCTGATGAAAGAGATGATCCTGAAGAGCCATATCCAGAAGAACCAAATCCAGAAGATCCACTAAAGAATTGAGCTGATACAGAAACAAATAAACAAGAGATGATGCATGAAGTTATCATTTTAGAATCCATTTTTGTTGTAATTGAAATTTGTTGTTTGGTTTTGTTGTGGTATTAAAATGTAAACTTAAAATCAATGGCACTATAGCTTAAAATTATTAATCAATCTGGATTGTTGCAACTTTCTAACTGGGCTTGGCGGGATTCCATGTTAGTCTTTTTATAATGAAAAATTTGATCCTTTTGAGGGAGTTGAGTTAGTTAAGGAGAGGATATATTTTAAGACGAGAGGGGAGGCAGATCATAATGATGATGTTCATGATGAAGATACTGACGCCCCTGATCATCATCGTCATCATCATGGTTGACAAGTTGATTGTTAACAGAAATCAACTATTATAAGCACATAAACAGTCGTAGTAAAGGCAGAAGTAATGAAAAAAAAACATATTCAGGAGTAACTTCAAATAGATTGCAAAGACTGATTAATAAAATATACTAACCTGAATTATATTTTTACTATCACTTGTTTTTTTGTTGTTTTGATGAATAGCGAAAACGGATGATGAAGATAAGAGTTAATTGAAAGGCTAATGATTGTAATTATTGACGGACATTCAGGTTGTAAAATTGAATATAACAAAGTACTAAAAGGTTTAATAAAGTTAATCAAGCAAAAGTGAAGCAAAAAAGACGCCAAATCCCCTTGGTTACATCAATATGGCAACCAGAATGTAAACAATGTGGTTCCATTTTCGCGCTTTCAATTTAATATTGCTTGGTTTTACCAACTGTTGATTAATTTTCACTTTTTCTTATTGCTATTGTGCCAGTCTAATTGTTTAGATTTATTGTATTTTATTTATTAAATTTGTAAAGTTTTATTACTTATGAAAGAGTTTAATTGAATATCCAAGTAATTGGATTATTAACGGTGAATCGTAATTGATGGAGACTCATGCCTTAACCAGGAATCACCTAACAATCGCCAATTGGGATGGATTAATTGTTGAGCCTTTTCGTACAATGTTCATTATAATTGCTGGTTGAGATATTGGTTCTGGTGTTCTTGGAGATGCTGACGAGATTACTTTAATGATCATGAACAAATGGATGGTTAAATGTATCGGTTTAATGTATTGGGATACATTATTAGATTAATCTACCGATAACTTTCAATCATTTATCAATCATTTATATAATCTTGATATTGCCAATCAAGTTTGTATCTGTTAGCAACAACAGAAAAGCACGAAACCCCAAAAAAACGAGTTAACAACAAATACTATTGAAACTGGTTCGGTGTGATGAGAAATGGCTCTTATGAATCGATGAGCAAAGTTGGTTGCTGGTGAAGATGAAAGAACTCATAAGTATTAATTGATGCTGATAATCATGTTTAGGTAAAAGTGAACAATCAGTTTTATCAATATCTCGTTCAGTATATCATCATCATCACACTGAATGTCGATCAACTTGACTGAATAGCAAAAAGAAGAAGATGAAGATGAACCGAGCAGGGCTACAAAAAAATGGAATAAAATAAACCAAAAGATAAATTTATTTTTTGAGTTACTATTTAAAGATTATTATCATTACCATTATTATTATGGCCTAAAGGTACGTTTTCATCCGGCAATTACATTTTAGCCTTTTCTTGAATTCAATGTAATCAACCAATCAACATACTCTTTTTTGTAGCATCATCATCATAATCATCTTGTGCTTCTTTACCTTAAACTGCTGCTTGGATTACTCGTTTTTACCTTGCTCGTTATTGTTTAATCATCATTATCTGTACGTGCTGATGAACATGGTTCTTCTCCTCTTTAATTATTATTATAATCGTCATCATAATCATCATCATCGCAACGATTATTGTTTTTGTCAAAAGAAGCAAAATGAAAACAACAGCAACAATAACCATAAACAAACACCCTTTTAGAGTAAATGAATGTAAGCAAATAGTCATAATGATTATATTTTAAATAATTTACCTAATAACACTCCTAGACAAGAGACTCTCAATTACTATCATTACTGTAATTGTTATTAAATAATTACAATCAACCCCTATTGGTATACAATTCAAACCAAACCAATTGATTCTTTTGTCACTCAAATTTTCTTAATGTTTGTTCATAACAAGCTTGTAACGATCAATTTTATTTATATTTTCAGCTGTTTTCCAATAATCGATTTTAAATTGGTCTTCGTGAAGATGGTCGACTTATCACATTTGAATGTTGAATTTCACTCGATTTGGATCTTAATGTCTCATTTGGTTCCGCTACTTCAACACGTTTTGTTCAATATTTGTATGGATGGCAAAAAATTATCTTTGATTCTCGCCACGGTCAAAGATGAGATCATTTTTTTAACACCATCTTCAAGATCATCCTTTAACTTATCACTTTAAGATGGTGATAAGTTTAATTACAACCTGAACAATCGACTCGATTGTTCAATGATCCAAATATTGATTCACCCTTTTTTTGTTGCTTACGCATTGTTTTGACAATTTGTTTTTGTATCTTTATTTCACCATTTGATCATAATTGATTCTCATTTTTTTACCTTCATCTTGGCCATCGTAGTTGACAATTTGACGACACCGAGTATAATGATCTTGATCTTGACTTTTGATTGTAAACTCGCCGATTTATCGCCTCCTTTGTTCAAACCCTATTCAATCACTTGCTTCTGATTGATTTGCTTTTGACAATTAAGACTGTTTCTTAGTTGTCAAAAATTGAAATGCCGTCTAAATTTGTTTTATTAGTGAATTAAATGATATATAAATGCAATTTTACTGTTTTAATCAATGATTTTATATTGAGGGGAACTATTAATAATGTTAATTAAAATATTATTGGTCAATGATTACATTTTGAGATTGCATCTTAAATTAAATATGATACATTATTTTAAATAATCAGACTGAACTCTTAATTTAATCTGATTTCATTTTTAGTGTCTCCAAGCACTTTAAGTTGTAAAAATGATTCAACTTTTTTGATTTCTCAATTGAAAAAAAGTAGATTCATCAGTTTCCAATCAGATAATGATTAAAATAGCGAAAGTCTATTGACTTTCGTAAGAGTGTTAACATTAATTCAATCTGTCTGGATGATCCAAGATGATTATCACTAAAAGTATTATTAATTGCGATATTTTTGAATAATTTAACGATCAATGCTTCTAACATAGAATTGATAGTGAAAGTTTTTGTATAAACCGCCTCTTTGGTTCAATCTCTATAGTCACTATGGGGACAAATTCAACAGTTATTTTAAAAATTTGGTTTCATTTGTTTTGTTAAAAGTTAAATAGCTCATTAGTGTTTGTATTGTTGTAACAGTTTCTATTTTCAATCATGTCATCTTCAAGTCTCAATAGCTATTCGAGTTATGGCGGGTCAACAAGCAAGAAAACTCCAAAGTAAGTCTGATGAATCATGATTATCAATGGCTCGGTTATACAAACTGTAAGTTTTCATACTCATGTACAGTAAATAATTTTTGTTTCCTTTTTTAAAGACGGATAACTCGCGAAAATGATATCGATAAGGTGGAAAAAATCAAAACACAGCTTGATTCTTTGAAAATTGAACTCGACACTTATAAAGCTAACTTGGCACCTGAAGTGAATCTAGAGGATTATAGATTGGATAACCACGAAGCTCGAAAACTGATGACAACTCTGGAAAGTTTTGCAAATGAACTATCTTCCAAATTAAGTGTTATGAAGCAATTATCAACTGTTCCTAAAGATCAGCCATCTTTGGTAATTGACGATGAAGCCTTGGCTGAAGCAAAAAGAACAGTAGAAGACGCCAAATGTATTTTGGAAAATTTAAGAGTTACGGGAAGAGCGGAATAAAATCAAAGTGGATGGCTGTTAATATGAATAATGATTGTAATTTTCTTTTTTATGATTCAAAATAACTGACTTGATTCACACTAAAAGTCCTTAATACACTTTTTATCTTGCTTTAACGAACAAGTGGGAAAGATAAATTTGCACAAATATCTGCATTAGACAGATCAATTGAATACTCAAATATATTCTTTATAAACATTTTCTTCATTTCATGAATTTTTCAATAACAGAAATTGATCTGAACTTTAATAATAACTCACTCATTGATAGATAGATTTATTTGGTCTAGTCTCTATGCTAAACCTCTCTTCTTCATTTCTTCAAGCATAAAAGCGCCCATTTTAGCTGGTGATCGAGTTACAGCAACTCCAGCTGATTGTAAAGCTTCGATTTTAGCCTGAGCACCACCTTTGCCACCTGAAATGATAGCCCCAGCGTGACCCATACGACGTCCAGGAGGAGCAGTCAGACCAGCGATGAATGAAACAACAGGTTTTGAGTTTGAACCAGAATTGTGTTCTTTTAAATACTCAGCTGCTTGTTCTTCGGCTTGTCCACCAATTTCACCAATCAAAATGATACCTGAAATTTAAATTTAAAGGAAGAATATCAAAACCGATTCAAAGATTTGCAAAGCAGACGAGATTTAAACACATGAAGAACTTTATGATTTTACCTTTAGTTTCAGGGTCATTAAGGAAGACTTCCAAGCAATCGATAAAGTCAGTTCCATTAAATGGATCTCCTCCGATACCGATGCAAATTGACTGACCAAGTCCAACTTGGGTAGTTTGGTGAACAGCTTCATATGTAAGAGTACCTGATCGAGAAACAATGCCGATTTTACCTCGTTGGTGGATATGACCAGGCATGATACCAATTTTACATTCACCGGGCTTAATGATACCAGGACAGTTAGGTCCAATAAGCCTAGTTTTATTCTGCCTAATCAATGCATGTTTTACGCGAACCATGTCCAATTGAGGAATTCCCTCGGTAATACAAACTACGAGTGGGATTTCAGCTTCGATAGCTTCCATGATCGCTTTAGCAGCTCCAGGAGCAGGAACATATATAACAGAAGCATTACACCCAGTTTCTTTCATTGCCTAAATAAAAATAAATGCAAAATTTTATATAATCTAATTGCATTGAAAGAAAGGTTCACATTTTCAATTGCGAATGTGAAGTCTTGCAATGCGCTCCTAAAAGCAAAAAGAAGTCAAAACATGGAGCAGTTCGCAAACTGTTTGCAATTACCTCGGTTAATGTACTGAACACTGGAAGGTCGAGATGAGTTTGACCACCTTTTCCTGGTGAAACACCACCAACAACCTTGGTACCATATTCAATCGCTTGCTTGCTGTGGAAGGTACCTTGTTTTCCAGTGAAACCTTGACAAATAACCTTAGTATGACTACCAATTTTTAAAGCTGGCCTTGTTTGATCATAGGCTTTTTTCAGAGCGTCCAAATTAAAACTTCGAGCTTGCAAAAATAAGGAGTAAATTTGAAAAAGAAAAAAAAACAGATTAGATAAGTGTATAGTTAAGGGTCACATTGGTTTTTACAGGATAAACGAGTGAAGCAAAAACCATTTTAGTTACACGTCTGGAATCATTATTATTGGTATTAAATTACTTACTTAGAGCTGGTGCAAATTTCACAGCTTTAAGGGTGGATGCTGCCATAATTAATTACAATAGATATGCTAAATAAAATTCAAGAATATTTATGAACAAACAAAATAAAAAATAATGAAAGAAAAATATTGAGTCCTAAGGAGAAAAATCAACTCAACCTTTAACAAGAAGGTGGAGTTAGCAAAGCAAACATAAGCTCTCTGGTTTATTTCAATAACTTTAAATCAGATTATTTTATCAACTGTTTTAATTTATTTTTTCTGTTATTTCCTCGTATTCGATTGATAATTTCCGGATATCGAAATTGTTCGAAGTTATATTATCTTCAAGTAACTCGTCTGCTTAAATTAACGTGCTTTACGTTTTGTTTTGTTGACAAACCCTTGCTGTACATCTTTATTCACGTTTCTCAAGCTTCAGCTGTTATTTTTGAGTTATTTTATCCTGTAATTCTGATTAATAACCCAAATTAGCATTACCGGATACGCAATCATGGCTTCATTTACTTGCTTGACCTGTAAAGTTAATTTCGCCAATAATGAGTGGCAAAAGCAACATTACAAAAGTGAATGGCATCAGTACAATCTGAAGCGTAAATTGGTCGATCTTAATTCTGTTGCCTATGATACCTTTGAAAAGATAAAAGCTCGTCAACAGGCCTTGGAATCAAAAGATACAACGGAACAAACTAGATACTGTGAATGTTGTCGAAAACCATTCTCATCGATTAAAGCCTATGATCAACACTGTCAGAGTAAAAAACATCGAGAAATGAAGGAAAAAAAGGAAATAAAGGATTCAATAGCAGCCAAGAAACAAACATCCACCAAGGTACCCAACAACCCAGTTAGCACATCAAATGTCGAAATTGATGCAGACAATAGTGATGATTATGAAGATATAGATTCTGATGATGATGATGATTATGAGACAGTTGATGAAGATTATGAGGAAGGAAAAGATGCCATTAGACCTGACCAATGTTTCTTTTGTCTCAGAGAAGCTGATTCAATTGAAGATAATGTCCAACATATGAGTCTCGTGCATTCATTTTTTATCCCTGATGTTGATTATCTCACTGATTTAGAAGGCCTGTTAACATATCTTGGAGAAAAGATTGGCATTGATCATGTTTGTCTTTGGTGTTCATACTCTGGAAAAACCTTTCGCTCAATTAAATCAGCTCAACAGCATATGTTGTCGAAAGGCCATTCAAAAATCAATTTCGAACAAGCCGATGTCCTCTTAGAATATGCAGATTTTTATGATTACTCTAAAAGTTATCCAGATGCTGAAGGTGAAAATGTTAGTTCCGACGAGGAGGTAAAAATTGATACAATTGGAGGCGAAGATGATACTTGGCAACTTGTTCTTCCATCTGGATCAGTTATTGGCCATCGATCTTTATTGAGATATTACAAACAAAATTTGAAACCAATCATAGAAAAGACTGGCAATGGAATGAGCACCAATCGCCGTATTCTGGATAAAGTAATGAATAATTATAAAGCTTTAGGATGGACAGGAATCAAGGGAGAAGCTGCTGTCTTGCGTGCGAAAGATATTAAGTTTTTCAATGAATTAAAAGCGCGACGTAGTTTAGACATTGGAATGAAACATAACAAAGTTTTAACTAAACACTTTAGAAATCAAGTCTTCTTTTAGACGATAATTTTACTGTGTTTAGTAATTGTTTCATGTTACTGGCGGTTATGATTACATCCAAATGAGTTGGATAAATTTATAATTATTTTCTTGTAAATTTATATTAAATTATCTGACTTTAACATTTCGATCACCGATTTACTTATTGCAATCATACGATAGATTCTGAACGCCTAATCGCTATGCAAGTGAATGTTTGATTGGAAAAATAGCGCGCGTAAAAAAATCAATCAATTTGAAGATGAACAGAAAAGTTTAAATGTGAAAATTAGCTTCAGCGTGAATATCAAATTTACAAAAAAATAAACAACGTTAGAAAAACATACTTTGATAAATTATATTATCGTCAACAGCGAGAGGTGAGATCAATCGGATGAAAAAGAATAGAATTCAATGTAGATATATGTCTGGATTCAAGTCAGAGTTATCGGGACTGACTAGACATGAACATCATTTCAGTCGATGAATTCTGATTTGAGCTTGAACTAAGCATGGGCT